AAAGGGCGGAAAAGTTTCTGGGTTCCTGAAAAGAGGAAGGTGATGACTAGGGGGGAGGGTGGATATCATGGCTCGGGCCATGAGATCTCCCCAGATTTCATGGCCCCTCTTCTTGTTTCGACACGTTCCCTGGCCCCCCCTGGTCCGCGCACATACCTTGGGCCATGATTTGCACCCCCCCCCTCTTGGACGCCCCCCTTCTTGGACGCCCCCGAACAGTTGGGATCTGGGCGAGACGTGGTGGGCGCCAAGCAATGTGTTGTTCCTGTATATTCGCAGGGGCCGCCCATACCGCCCCGGTGCGCGACCACAGCGTGCTGGGCATCACCGGGGGCTGCGCTGCACCTTTGGCGAGGAGTCCTTCTCCTCCTCCTCCTCCTCCTCTTCCTCCTCCACCTTTTCCTCCTTGATCCTTGATCCTTCATGGAGGTGCGGTCGAGATCGACCGCACCCCTCAGCCATCCATCCACCTCGACTGCCCTAAAGCAGCCCGATACGCCAAATGCGTACCGACGAGCGTGCGCGGCTAGCCGAGCACAGCAGCCGAACAGGGCCTCAGAACGCGACGAAGTCAGTAGCGGAAATCCGATCCTTCCGCCAAGCAGATAGTCAACCTTGCCATCGCAAGACAACATACTGACCTGGCCGAACGACATGTGCAGGACAACATCCCACTGCCGTGAAAGATAGGGCCACCGACCGCGACGATCAGCAGCCAACTTCTATAGGCAACCAAGTGGGAGTCCCTCGTCGAACGTCCTGAAGAACCGACGGATACTTTTGGTCTGCGTCTTCTGACCCTCCTGCGACACGGCGACGCCTCCACACTGTTTCTTGAGATTACAAATCTTGCCATCGAACTTTGCCGAATAGCAAGCGCACTTGGTACGCATAACTGCATCCGCTGACCATGACGTCTCGTGCCCGAGCTGTTTGAACAACGCATCAATCCTTTTTTAGGGGTCGGCGTCGCTCGTGTGTTGAATGACTTGCTTCACTTCTTCATCAGCGCCCAGCACCCAATCAGCTGCCTGCAACGCCGCCTGTACCGCCTCCGTCCTGAAGATAGCGTACTGTTTACCCTCCTCGGTACTGAAATAGGCGTCCATACGAGCTCGTTGCAGCGAAGACGGGCCACAGTGACCTCGAGCGCCCCACCTCAAGTTATCCAGATGCGTCTGCGTCTTGGCCGTGACTCCGCAGTGGCGGCATGTCCAGATCTTCTGGCCCTCGTGAAAGTAGAAGACATGCTCACGGACAGCAAGGTGTTGGTATTTCTCTCGCTCGACCCGTTGAGTTTGTCCTCCTTGCCAGAGCTGGTGTTGAAAGAGCCGAGTCAAGCCCAAACTGAGGTAGATACTTGGCCATCATGCGTGCCTCGTCGAAGATGTGCTGCACGTGCTCCAAGTAGCCTTCCGCGATGGTGACTTCCCCCGCTCCTTCCTCAGCAAAGAAATCGGCCCAGCTGTTGCCCACCACCCACATCGGCTCTAGACCTGGATGTGCAACCCCTTCGACCACGTCCATAAGCCGAGATGAGATGGACACCATTTGAACTGCGTGATAAACGGCTCACCCTTGACGACCTGACTGTGGATCTTGCGCCATGCACCTGCATGCGCGGCCTCCGCTGCTTCTTCGGCATCGCTCCAGCTGTTACCTTCAGACACCAGCGCCTGCAAGTCCGAAATGATCAAGTCAACCTTGTTGAAATGCGAAACCGCCTGCAGCACCGCATGCCGTTCGGCCAACCCAATAGTTTGTTGACGCCCAGGCAGCCCACCATAAATAGCACGGCAAGGGTACCCATACTGAGACATCTCCACCGCCGCCCAGCCACATTTGCGGAGCTCAGGAAACGCCGATGGTGAAGCCGAACCGTCGGTGACAAGCACCACGGGATCGTCAAGGTCCCTCCTGCCCCAGTTGCCCCAGTGGAGGACTGGCAGATCCTCAGCAGGAGGCTCTGGGATAGCTGGCAACCTGGGAGATCACCGCGTCCCTGAACTTGCGGAGCTCTTCAGGCATGGGGTGTTCCTCCTCGTCCTCCATGAGGTAGCTGTCCACCGCAGGGCATTCGAACATGCAATGACCGATGTGCTCGTCTTATTTGCCACAGCCTCTGCACTCGATATCCAGCGCCTTACCATGATCATGCAGTCTGGTCTGCGCCCACAACGAGTCCGACCACAACGATCTCAAAGCCCCCGCCGCAACTGGTGATTTAACAGACGCCACCTTGGCCCCAGCCCCCCGTCATAGGCACCGGGCCCAGATGGTAGTGTTCGCCTCCGCCGTAGGGTGGTGCTCCAGGATCTTCTGCATCTGCCACCGCTGAATTCCCATCCTCATCATTGATTTCATAAACATCGGCGGCGTATTCAATATCGAGTGACTGGCACCAAGGTCGTCCCCTACAATCGTCGTAGTGATCATCTCCCAGCACATTCGCCACATATATAAAATAATCACAGCAAGAGGCCTACGCACCGTCTGCCAAGGGATATGCCAGCAATCAGATTTTGCCACGCTCGCTCTATCTGGCCCAGACTCTGCTCTTGATTCCAGATAACACGATGAAAAGCAAAGAAAGGCGACGTAGTGGCGTCACACACCGAGTCAAAGAACTCGCCTTTTTGCGTCACCAAGTAGAGTATGATGCTTGCGACTCGCCCAGGGTAGTCAGCCACCCTAGCAGCCGCACTTCGGAGATGGCGGAACTCGAAGTCCGAGACACCACTCACCATCGCACTATGTCCCACTGCGGGTAGCAGCCCCGTTCTCCATAACGCCGTAATCTTGAGGCCGACCGCTTGCTTGAAGGTGAATATCTTGTTGAGTCGTCCGTTGGGCACGCCTTTACGCTTCTGCGCCACTGCCCGTCGAATCACCTTGCCATGCAATTCATGACCTAAGCTCCCCATGTGCTTCTTCCTTGGGGTGACACAAAATTCAGCTGCTTCGCGAGATGCCTAACCACCAGCCTTGGAGGTCGAGACAAAGCCTGGCTTGGCCACCTGGATTATCAGTCCTAGCTCTCGACCGTCGTGAACGAAACCTTTGAGCGCCTTCCATAGCTGTGCCACCTTCCTCAAATCTCGCCCAATCCACTGCACCGAGGTGTCGTCGACCAGCCCACGTGGAATGACGCCAGCGAGCCCCATCCTGTCGAGCGCCTTGGCCGTGAGGACCGTCAAGAGCGTCGTATTGTGACTGCAGCCTGCCAGAATACACTGCGTCGAGGTGAAGCTGTCCGAAAGCGAGCTCCGCGCACGAACAATCCTCGGCATCGGGTGATATTGCAGCACCATCCAAGCCAACCGAATTGGAAATTTCATGTCCTCCGCCTGTTGCACCAAGGCCTGCGGCGACACACTTTCGAAAGCTTCCGACGCATCCAAAAGAGCTATGATAGAGTGCTGTCCTGTCAACGCCGCCACCTCTGCAGCCAGGTTATGATGAAATGCTGAAGCGCTCGAGAAACGACCAGATCCGCCAGCTCCCCATGTGCGCGGGAGGCCTGTCTGTTTGAGGCACTGCCGCGATGTGACGCTGCGCGCTCTCGACCAGATACGCACCACAGAATGTGCCGATCCAATCAGCCTGCATGCTCCATCTGGTTTAGGTAATCGCACCAATATATTGAGGATGCGATCGTTCGGCCAGAACCCCAGCAGCCCACATCTAGAATAGAACATGCTGAGCACGTCCAGACCAGTATCACTAACCTGCCAAGCGGCTCTGGGCGCGATCCCAGTCTGTCTTTTGGCTGCACGTGCAGGACATGTCATGATAACCTTGCGCAGAAAGCCAACTGACATAGCAGGCAGCTGCTCCCAATCGGACATGTTGCTTGGCCTGCTCAGATTGTTGTAGCCGTGATGCTCCCAGACTTCTCTCCACTTTGCGAACTCACGATCCACCATCTTGTGCGGCTCGGCCTGTCACATTGTCTTGGCCATCTCCGCCTGAACGGGTACCTTCGTATACTTGTGCGCCGCTCCAGCACCTCGAAGAAAGCTCTTGTCAGCCCACTGCCTACAGCTGTTCATCTTGCTTCCCAACGCCTGATCGTCTTCCTGCTTACCTTGCTTAATAACATCATCAGTGATCTTCTGAAAATCAGCCCTCATGAAAATCAAACGCCCTTCCTTGAAGAAGCCCACCACTTCTTGGCTGAGGTGCTTGAGAACTTGCTTGCTGCTCACCACCTTCTTAAGAAAAAGCGTAGCCTCCTTGACCAGCTTACAGAGATTCCCACATTGCCCCGTGGTGATTGAACAGACCCTGTCCGCCGAGTTCAGGAGCTCGCAATACTTCCCAGGACTCAGCTGTACTGCTTAAATATGTGTACACCAACGCCCTGCTACCTTCCATGCGTGCGCCTTCTCGGTGATATACGTCCTCTTTCGTGGCGGCTTCCAGTCTCCCTGCTTCCACTGCAAGCACGAAGGTCCAGCCCGTCCGATATGTGTCTGCCGCTCTTTACCGTGAAATCCCCAACGATCAGCCAAGTCCAACTCGAGTTCCGTAAGCACTGCATCCCAGGCTGCTGCCAAAGTACGCTGGTCCTTGGCCCTCTGCGCTGCCATGGCTGCCTTGGCCCAAGCTTTTCGTGCACTGCCTGGCTCCTCCTTTTCCCCCTCCTCCTCCTCCTCCTCCTCCTCCCCCTCCTCCTCCTCCTCTTCCTCCTCCTGTCTCGGTGGAGGGGGGGGGGCCACACCACCAGGATGCCCTTCCCTCACCGGGCGCATTCCACTTCTCGCAGAGCGCTTGCGCGCAGGCGTCCCGAAAGCACAGGACCGCCTCGATGCAGATGGGTCTTCGACCCTCCTCGGCG